GATCATGAGGTTGAGTCCTAACTGACAGAATCAGTTTTCTTCTAAAGATACCCAGAGATCCCTTGTCCTGTCCATCGTGTGCGGACACAGCAAGAAAGCAACATTTATTAACCAGAAAGTGGGTTCTCACCAGTCAACACACCAAATTTACCGGAGTCATGATCTTGGAGTCCCAATGAGTCCAAAACACATTAATTTGTTTTATGTTACCTAGTCTGTGACATTTTGTTTATAGAAATAGAGCAAAGAACAAGTCCTCATACACTGTTGGTAAAACTGTAAACTGCTTCAGGAGTCAGCTCTTCAGAAAGTTCAAACACATAATTACTATATGACCCAGCGATTCCAAGCTCAGTTTTGTACCTAAGAGAAATGAAAACACTTGTCTACACAAAAACTAGTACATGGGTGTTCATAGGAATATTATTTATAACAGCCACACAGTGGAAACAAACTAAATATAAATCCACTGTGATTCAATAAATAAAATGTGGTATATCCACATAATGCAATATTGTTCAGAAACAAAAGGAAATAATGTTTTTACACGTGCTGCAACATTGCATATTATGTTAAGTGAAAGTAGTTATAAAGGACACATATGGTCTAGAGGAGGCAATCCATAGAGACACAAAGTGTATTAATGGTTCCCAAAATTTGGGAACTGTGAGGTGGAGGGTTGGGGGATAGGGAGTGACTCCTAATGGAAAGGGTTTTCTTTTTATGTGAAGAAATGTTCTAAAATTGATGAATGCTAGTTTGAGAAACATTATCACGAGGCATTTTGCTCTAGAAACATTGACCAAGTGTTAATACCTATCTTCTTCACACATCTCTCTAAGGTAGAATTTCAACATCATATCTACCCAGATGAATTAGGGATGCTTCAAAGTTGAATAAGCTAATCTATCAGTGATTGCTAATTAAGATTTTTGGAATGTGGATTCTTTGAGAACATGTTGAAAACTCAACAAGGTAGGCATACTGTTAACTGAGGAATCTAAATAATTTTGTAGAGTATCAACATCAAAGGAAGACCTCCATGAATACAGCACAAAGAAAACCAGGATCATTTCTTAATCCTGCTGAACAGAAATTTAACAAGGTGGGGGAGGGGATGCTGTGTAACAACAAAAATGACCAGACAGCCCCCTCTCAGGCTAACAGGAATGACTGTTCAATCCTTCAGTGATTCCTTTAGCTTCAGTTCCTTTAGCTTCCTAGTAAAAATTATTAAGATGCCAGATTGCCCTCTCTTTCAGACAACACCCAATCTGGAACAGACTGGCAACTTTCTTGAAACTCCACTAAAATCACATTACTCAAATCCTCTAAGCAGCTCCACCTGACTCCCTCTTAATACAAGGTTCTATGGTTTCCCAAAGTATGGATCTTCCTTGCAACAGTAAGCCCACTTTTGGTTACAGGTGTGTTCCTGGTGGTTTTTGGTTGATAAGAATACACACATGCTAGAATCACTTGGGATGTTTAATTAAAGACTCCTGGGCTTTATCCCTGTAGTGAGTCACAAGATCTAAAAATTGAACCTTCTATGCTTCTGATTCATAAAGTCTAAGGAGAAACCTTGAGAAATGCAGCTTTTATTGACAAACTAGAACTTGAAAAGATGTATAAATTAACAAAGGAGAAGGACTTTCCAGTCTAAAGGAAAAGTATGAAAAGCCTAAAGCATGAAGTTGCAGGTGCTGGGGACAGGGAGAGAATGGGGTCTGATGCATCGTGGGGTCTCAGGAAATCTAAGGCAACCAGATGGAACCAAGAACCCCTTTAGAGAGCAGCTGGACTGAACAGGTTTGGAAAGGTAAGGTATGCATGTAAATTCCACTCATTTCTTACCCACATTTCTGAGATTAACCAGCAATTCACTGGTTTCTTCCATTTATAGTCACTCATTTTTCAGGAAGAAAGTCTTTTTCTTAAACAATTTCATTTTTGTGACTAATAACTAATCTACCCTCCAGGGAACTCATTCTCTTACCTATTTGTCTGTGTTGCCAGTCTGTTGCTGAAAACTCACCACCAGGTGTAGGGAAAGTAAAGTAGCAGGATTTTCTGCCTCCCACCACTGGGATTGATTATGGATCCTGCAGTCCTGAATGCATGCCTGATGGCAGGCACCTGGAATAGGGTGTGGGCATATGTAGGTGGGTACACCTGGGCTGAGACTGGGCTTTTAAGGGCGGTGTCATGGGAACCACCAGAGGAGAACAAGCGGAAGCAGAACCAGAGAGAAGCAGAAGAGAGAAGCGGAGGCCATGAGAGAATGCCAGAGAGCCCAGAGAGAGTGAAGACTTGCTGGGGGCTAGGAGGCCTGCCAGCCTCCCCCCCCACACACACACACCCCTGCCTACTGTGTACCTGGTAAACTCAATAAAAGCCTGAAAAGGCCACTGAGGGCTCCTAAGACTCCTCCTTCACCCATCTGCTCCAATTATAGAGATCCTGCTCCATCCCATCCTGCCACTCCAGGCAACACGGAAGCACAAAAACAAAAATTAAAGTTAAAAGTCTTCTACAGGACAGCTATATGACTTAAGAGTTTAAGAAATCACTAGATTTCAATATTGACAGTTACCAAATTTTAAAAAAAGATGAGATTTCCAAAGAGTAATCTTGAGACAGGAAAGATCCTGGGACAGGGACAGGACAGGAATCAAGGACAAGAATTTTGCTGTTCCCATGGGCTTGTCAACAAGAGGTTAATAACCTGATGACTCTAGGTCCTGACACCTGCTGCCATAATTTCCTTGGATCACTGGATCATTTTTTTGGTTTGTTTTTGTTTTACTGTTTCTGAACTCTTTTCGACATATCAAGTTGGCTGCTATGGGAAAGTGGGGAGTTAAAAGACCCAGAAGACAAAGGAGTCCCAGTCTTTGCGAGCAGACCAACTCACACTGGAGATGTAGGTGCCCAGCTTCCCACAGAAGTTCACCTTAGAGAAGGTCATGAGCCCATAAGACCACAAGCTGCAGCTGATTGGTGCTCACAACAATGGACTTTGGCTAAGTCCACTCTCTTTGCTTTCCCAGCCAATAAAGTTTTATTCATTTGTTCTCAAACCCTATTCCTAAAACCTACATAGACCCCTAGCAGGGTCACATCCTGGAATCTCTTCTGTCCAGAGGGGCCTTCTCCCAGCACTGTTTTTCCTTGCACTTTCACTAATCTACAAATGCTGACTCCTTGCCTGCCCTCACCAGTGGATTCCTCTTTTCAATCTTGACCAGAGCGTCTCAAGAACTCTTTCCCCGGCTTGGGAGCAGGCCCCCTCAGTCCTGTGGACAGCAGCTGGTACGCTGCTAATTTTGTGGGTTAGGATGAGATCAGACTGAGAGGCCGCCGGAACCTGACAAAAGTAGCATTTACCCCAAATTGCCAAGCCAGACACTACTGAAATTGGGGGTCATGGGGGGAGGTGTCTACCTTCAGGAAAAGACAGGTATTTTTGTCAAAAAGCCATTTACAATCTCGCAGAACTAGGAAAGCATGTACTTCCCACTATGCCAGATAGTGGAAGGCTACGATTTCGAGAAAGGCAAATTTGGGCTGGGGTGGGAGTTGGGGGAGTCAGAAGGCTTAGATTCAAAATCTCTTTTCTGCAGTACGAATGCTCAGTTCGGTCCTTTTGACACATTCTGGCAATAATGTGGTTTTTGCAAATAAATGAGAAATTTCTATGTTACTCTTTCGCTAACGACATGGATGTTTCGCTAATAGACATGGATGTTCAGATGTTAGGAAACTTATGTGAAGACGTTTCCATTTTCAAAGAAATATACAAAAAAAAAAAAAGGAAGGAAAAAGCTACGTGTGCTTCCTGGGTAAACAAGTGCTTAGGGATGAAGATGCAGCTTCTCCCTTCTCCCAGGCACGCAGTCGGGAAGGGGGAGAAGGCGGGGTGCAGCGGAGCCTGGTGCACAGGTGGCGGCATTCGCGCCTTTTAGAAGAGAAAAACGTGTGCCATCTCCGTTTGGAGCAGATCAAGGGAGTCTTTGTCAAATTACAACTGCATCACCACCGAGCAGCAGGGGGAGAAAAGGGGCGGCAGGAGATCTACCCGTGAGCCACACAGGCTCAGGCTTCTCACAGGGGCAGGTGGGTTCTGCTCCGGGGACGCTCCTGCAGAGCGCGTGGGTCCCGCAGCATTTCCCCTAGAAGGGCAGCGCGGGGACCCGGGTGACCGCGCCCCGCCGCGCGGGTGGGTGCCGTAGCGAGAAGCCCCAGCCCCGCCGGCAGACGCGCTCCTGTCCTCCTCGGCGGCCGCGGCCGCTCGCTCCTACCGTGGCTCACGACGCTCGCTCGGGCTCCGGGCTCCCAGCAGGCGGGCGGGCGGGCGGCGCGGGGCTCCCGGCTGCAGCCGCAGCGAGACGCGGGCGCCGAGTCCGCTGTTTGTAAACACGCTCCACGTGCGCGCGTCCTGCCCCATTCGCAGGCCGCTCGGCCGCCGGAGGACGCACGGCCTTCACGCCAGCCCCCGGGGAGCGCGATTCGATTTTCATCACACCTGAGGTTAAGTGCACCGAGCGCGTCGCCCTCAGCGCGGGGCCGCAGGGAGAAGCGCCAAGATGGGGCGGGCTTACACCGCCCCCTGCTGGCCGTGCCCGCACCGGCAACGTGGAGCAGTTCGGTCCCTAGCGGAACCCCAGCCGCGCGGAGGGACGCCACAGAGGCCGCCACGGAGGCCGCCCCGCCCCGCCCCGCCCCTCCAGCCGGTGGCCCCGCCCCGGGGCGCGCGCGCTCGTCCGCGCAGCCCCGCCCCCTCGCCGGCACAACGTTCCTGCGGGGGCGCGCGCGTGCTCCCTAATCCCCCGCCTTCCGGCTCCGGCGGCGACGCGAGCCCCTCGCCGCCGCCGCCGCCGCCGGTGTCAGCGTCCCCCTAGAGACTCCATTTGCTCCCAGGGCGCTCTGGCCGCCGCACTGGCAGGTGGAGAGCGATGCCCCCGACCCGCAGGCCGGCGTGTCCTGCGCCTGGCGGCCGCCGAGCGCGGCGGTGACACCCTGGTCGCCGGCGTCCACGGAGGAATCCGGCTCCCTCCGCGTGAGCAGAGACGTCCCGCGCGGCGGAGCGCGCCCTGCGGGGAGAGGCCCTGGTAACGCGGCTTCTCGCTGACCTCTTAATTTCAGGAGGTAGGCAATTGAGGTCCCTCTCTCTGTCACTCCCGATGGCGCCTGAAAACATTATTTGTCGCCTTTAAGCCGTAACAACTCTAGGAGGCGGTCATTTTCTTAACATAGTTGCAGGGTAGATGTGGGTAGTACCACAGACCCTGATATTGAAAAAAAATGTTTTTGGTATTTTCCTTCAGGTTTGGGAAGCTCGGAGTTCCTATACAGCCCCCCACAGGAACTACTTCTATTGACCCTTCGAGGATCATCTTTCACCAGGATTATTGTACCATCTCACGGAGCCTTCCACCCCCTACCCTCTACCATTGGTCCTGATTTCTACCAATGAAGTGTTTTGATGCTTTCTGTAGTCACGTGACACAGTCCTTGGCCACCTTTTTCCTTTCCAGTTGCCAAATACATTAGGTGTAAGTTTGTGTGGTGTTAAAGTACAAAGTTTCCTGCCTGCCTACTTTCACCTTAGTCGCACCGCTCACTTCTGTCCCGCTTTGCTTTAACGTGCTTACCTGTAATTTCCATAACCACTCACTTGGGTAACCTATATAATCCTTGCCTAGAAGACACAGCATTCCATGCAGTGCGCTGCTGAACAAAGACAGCAGTTCAAGGACGAGCTTTCCCGTTAGATTTTCCTTTATGTCACTTCTGCAAGTCCTATCGACTTTAACTGTATTCCCTGGTCCAGTTTCCAAATAGTCCCACCTGAGTCTTAGTTCCTTTAGCAAAGAACCTCACCTGTGATGATGGCAGGAGCAATCAAGCAGACCATAAGATTGTTGTGGAGACCTTGCTGTTTACAGTCTTGGTTGTAGTCGCCATTGAATTTGCAGTTCATGAAAAGGGGAATAAAGTAGAAGAGCTAGTTCTCGCTGTAGGAACTTTGTAAGTTTCAAAACAAAAGTAAAGAGACGCACAGTGGCCTTACTTAGATTGACCAGCACACTATTCATCTAGGTCCTGGGGGGAGTTAGGGGATTTAGAGGAGGGATCTTAAGACTGCATTTTCTAGTAACATTGTGTACAAATCTTAAGTGTTAAATATCTTATTCTAGTAATTGCCCAATATATTAGACACTTAAAATGCTGGGAAAACGTAAGCGTGTAGTTTTGACAATTAAAGACAAGCTTGACATTATTAAGAAACTTGAGGAAGGCATCTCTTTCAAAAAGCTTTCTGTGTTGTATGGAATTGGTGAATCCACAGTTCGTGATATTAAAAAGAACAAAGAAAGAATAATAAACTATGCAAACAGTTCAGATCCTACAAGTGGGGTATCTAAACGTAAATCTATGAAGTCATCAACATATGAGGAACTTGATAGAGTTATGATAGAGTGGTTTAACCAACAGAAAACAGAGGGCATTCCTGTATCCGGAACGATTTGTGCAAAACAAGCCAAGTTCTTTTTTGATGCTTTGGGGATGGAAGGTGATTTTAATGCATCATCTGGCTGGCTAACTCGATTTAAGCAGCGCCATGGTATCCCAAAGGCTGCTGGTAAAGGGATAAAATTAAAAGGAGACGAAACTGCTGCCAGTGAATTTTGTGGTAACTTTCAGGAATTTGTTGAGAGAGAAAATCTACAACCTGAGCAAATTTATGGGGCTGATCAAACTGGATTGTTCTGGAAATGTCTGCCATCAAGGACATTAACTTTTGGAACTGAGCAAAATATTTCTGGCTACAGGTCAAGCAGAGAGAGAATCATTATCATGTGTTGTGCAAATGCCACAGGTTTACACAAACTTAATCTTTGTGTTGTGGGAAAGGCAAAGAAGCCTCGTGCGTTCAAAGGAGCTGACCTTTCAAACCTTCCTGTCACTTATTTTAGTCAAAAAAGTGCATGGATAGAGCATTCTGTTTTCAGGCAGTGGTTTGAAAAATTCTTTGTACCACAGGTGCAGAAGCATTTGAAATCTAAAGGGCTTCTAGAGAAAGCAGTGCTGCTTTTGGATTTCCCCCCAGCACATCCGAATGAAGAATTGTTGCGTTCAGATGATGGCAGAATAATTGTGAAATATTTGCCACCAAATGTCACAAGTCTGATTCAACCAATGAGCCAGGGAGTACTAGCCACGGTAAAAAGATACTACCGAGCAGGACTTATCCAGAAATACATGGATGAAGGAATTGACCCAAAAATGTTTTGGAAGAATTTAACAGTATTGGATGCAATTTATGAAGTTTCCAGTGCTTGGAATATGGTGAAATCAAGTACCATAACCAAAGCATGGAAAAAACTTTTCCCTAGCAATGAAGAGAGTTCGGGAATGAACATTGATGAAGGAGCCATCTTAGCAGCTAACTTAGCAACAGTTTTACAGAATACAGAAGATTGTGAACATGTTGGCATTGAAAATATTGACCAATGGTTAGACTCTCACAGTAATGACTCAAGCTGTCAGGTGTTAACTGACAGTGAAGGTGTGGAAAACCAGGCTAGGCCTGCTGGGCAAAAGTCTTCCAATAAGGCTAGAAAAACAGAACTGAATCCAGAGAAGCATATTAGCCATAAAGCTGCACTTGAATGGACCGAAAACTTACTGGGTTATCTAGAACAACAAGATGATATGCTTCTGTCTGATAAACTGGTATTGCGGAGGCTTCGAACCATAATAAGAAGAAAACAGAAGATCCAAAATAACAAAAATCACTAATAATGGTCTTAAGGATTTTGGCATCTCTGGACCTTTGTGACTATGTGCGGTAGAACTTAATGATCTTGTTTGAAGTGCTGTGGATTCCAAGGCCAAATATATTTTATAAACAATTTTAGAATTAGATGCCATTTTGGATTACTTAAATTACTGTGCTTTAATGTCAACTCTAGTAAGTGAGCATTGACATGTACCTTGTTGACTGTTTCTAATCTGTATTAGACTAATTAGATCATAAGGTACCTGAGGCCAGGGATCTTGTGTCTGTTTTGTGCCTGAATTTCATTGTGTCTAATACAGAGTCATGCACACTATAGGCAATCAATAAATCTTTCTAAATTGAATTTTTATGACTTTCTCTGAACTTCAGTTTTCCAAATTTAAATATGTTTAGGGGTAAGTTTACATTGCCATGATTTTTCTACCTGCTGCAAATTTTAGAACTCAAACCATGATTATGTTCAAAGTCATTCACTATGCAAGCAGACAACTGCAGAAAAATAAACCTTAAATATGGTATTCTTTACCAACAGCATTTGGGTAAGCAGCAGTTCATGTTGTTCATCTCTCTGACATGTAAGAACTAAGGTTAAAATGTCCCCAGGGAAAGGACTTGTACTTTACTTTTAGTCCTTATGATATTAGGAAGAATTCCAGTTGTGGAAAGAATGCCATTTCTATTTTCAAAAAATAGCTTTCAGTTCTCAAAACATTGCATTTAGAAGAGGTAAGCATTAATTTTTTTTTTAAAGATTTATTTATTTATACAAGAACCTGGGTACAGGCCAGATGCACGGGTGGGTGAGAGGATTCACCAGAGACAGAGCAGGGAACAGAACAGGCAGACTGACGAAATACACTACTGAGGGGATCGAACCCGCGCTGCAGAGGCTGCAGACAGCTTCACAGTGCGGCGCTCAACCACCTGCGCCACCAGGGAGGCCAAGCATTAAATTTTATTTTTATTTGGATCCTTTATTAGATACATGTATAGATATGTCAGTATGACATATACATATGTGTGTAGATATGTCAATAGTTTACTAAGCTATTTGACATATAATACTTTAAAACTTAAAAAGTATGTCATTTGCTTGCATGTAGCATATTTTTCTTAGAGAACTAATACTGAGAACATAAGCATCCAGAAAATTTGTGGAGCCAGCACATGAAAGGAGGCCTGACATGAAATAGAACATGAGAAAAGTACTGTAGATGAGCCTGGGCTGCTGTGTGTCCATGTGTCAGTTGCCTGACCCACCTATAAAACAGAAATGATATCTGTCTCAGAGAGTTTTTGAGAAGAGTAAATAGTTCATATATGGATTTAAATAATAGGGACTTTGAACATCTGACTCAAAATAAATCCTCTTTAATGTTAGTGTCACTGAGTTGCAGAAGTATGCTGAAAAGATCCAGGATATGACTACGGAGATGTGCTCGAGTTGGGAAAATTCTCTTACAGGACGTGAAATAAAAGAGCAATATATAGTTTCAGCTGAAATACAACTGAAAGGTTAATACAATTAAATAATTTACTGCCACCTATCGGTAGGCACTTTGCATTAGGCAGGCATTTTTATGGTTGAATTATAACAGGAAATGGAATTGTATTTCCTCTGCCTCAGACCTCTTAGCACCCTGCTAATGAAATAAATAGATCTTGACTTTGTTCATGGAAAAGAATATATTACTAATAATGGCATAATTCATTGAAGTAATAAAATAATATAGTAACTGATATATAATATAGTAAAGTTGCTAACAATAGGACACTTGAAATATTTTATCAAAGTAAAGTAAACACAAATCAATAGAGAGTGAGAACGAAAGGTTACATGAGGCCCTCGTTATTGTAACTAGGTCAAGCCATATGTAGGAAGCTTGGTTGTAATTTGAATTGAGATTTTAAAGCCTTTGTCTGACAACCTTTCACACTATCATTATGACTCAGAATTCTACCTTTTAAGCTGAAGCTTTGGGTTCAAGAAAAACCTTTTAGAAAACCTTTAAAAATTCTACCTTGGGAGAATTTATATATTTTTATGAATACCCCTTTCTCAGTATACACAGTTAATTTCACCTACCAGATAGGCCTGAGAAAATGAGACTATGGCTAAATCTTGAGGGTATTTCACATCTGGAGATTAAAGGATTCTGAAACTTGGTAATGTAATGACTTACATTAGAATATTGCTTTGCATTTTTCACTGAACTGTAACATAAAGTCTCAAACTTCCTTCAATCATGACATTGAAATGTTTTAATCCTGTGTTTTATAATAAGCACTAATAATAAGCTCTGCATTCTAATTCCATAATTGAATAAAATACAAGGATCTTTCCCTTTTCAAGGTACTGTGGCATGTTAATTAGATCTTCTGGGAGGATTCATCGTCTTTTCTTGGTTAGCTACATGTTCCTTGTATGTATCCTGGCTTGAGGCACAGAAATAATGTGCTCTCATTTCACTTTGTGCACGTTAAAAGAAAATATCCACAAATTCTGACTATTGGTTATGACTTATAAAAATGCCTATTTAGAAGAGGATTTGTAAGACTAACAGAACTTAAACCAAGTGGAAATTGTTTCACACTAACTATACGGATATTTTTAATTGTGTTGCAGGGATTTTTACTCTTTCATTATTCAATCTCAGTAACAGGGATTGATTGAGAAATGTTGAGTGCTCAATAAATATAATGTAATCGGCAGGGCCCAGATCAGTTATCAGGATCAATTCAATTACAATTATAGGGTTATATTGGTGCTCTTGTTGTGGGATTCTTTTTGTTTTCAATCTATTTTCAGATTGAGCTATGTGGTTACTTCATGAATTTTCCAGATTTAGGGGAGAATCATGGTGGACTAAATAGCACAGCAGAACACGTCTACTCAGGTCACAGGCTGAGAGACAATCTGCCTTCATGATGTGTTTAGAATCCCCAAGGCTCTTGTAGGGGTTTTATGTTTAACAGCTTTAATGTTACAGGTAAAAGCTATGACTTGCACTTCAAATTTATGTCCATTTATTAATCTTAATTTTTTTCACAAAATTCACAAAATTGACATTTTCTTAAATATATACCATTATCTACATCCTAAACCATAATATCTGCAAAATCACAAATCTCATATGCCAATTGTCTTTTATTTATTTTATATTTTAAAAAGATTTATTTATATGCATACAAGAACTGGGGTATAGGCCAGAGGTGCAGGGGGCAGGGTGAGAAGATTCACCAGAGACAGAGTGGGGAGCAGAACAAGCAGAGCTACTGAAACACACTGCTGAGGGGAGCAGCGGGCAAGGCAGGAGAGGTCTGCTGCTCCATGTGGGTAGCTCCCTGCCTGGCTGGGGATCGAATTCATGCTGCAGAGGCTGCAGATATTTTCACAGTGCTGTGCTTAACCCCTTGAGCAACCAGGGAGGCCCCCAATTGTCTTTTAAATGCAAGATATGACAGTTGTTTGTTAAAACTTTTTAAAACCTAAAATCACTTGCATACCACATTGGCACACTTTGAGAAAAACAGACCAAACAGAAGGACTAGGGTCTTTGAAGGCTAACAGATTGGAATGAAACACTAGCTTTTTTTTCTCCCCAGATAACCTTGGCTGCTTTCTTGACCTCTCTGAACCCGTTTCTTCATACCTAAGAGTGGCAGGATAGGTGGGAATACTCCAGGTGTGCTTAGACACCAGCTATTAAGCAGCCTTTCAGTTCTTCATTGAGAACCCTGGTCTCTAATCCAAGCCTGAGGGCTGAGACAGCTGTTCTCTCACAATGACTCTGTGCAAACTTCCAGAAACCTCAGCAACCTTGTGGAGGGCAAGGGCTCTGCTCTGTCCTTGGGGACATTGGCTACCGTGTTGTCTACAAAGGTAGGAAAAGGCACTGAGTTCCCCAGCCCTGTGAGACAACAGTGTGTGCTGTAAATCACTACAGGGACCCATTAGTAAAAATAAACAGATGGGGTCTGCTCTGTCAGCAGTGTGGGATAACAGGGCTTAAAGAGAAATGGATTCTTCCAAGCAGCTAAATACATACTTGGGAGATGAAGAGCTCATCTACTGAATGCAAATATACAAACTGCTGGTGCAAATGCAGTGAAATGGACCCAGTAATGAAAAAGCACCACTAGCACTGTCCCCCATCTAACTCATGAGTCCAGGGGTTCACAGGATCTGGTTTACCCAGGAACATCCTGCTTTCTACTAGTTGTCCGAAAGTAAGTGTTATAATACCCTTTTGACTCTTGAGTGTCCCAGTTCAGAAGAGATATTAGATGTTTGTCCTGCCAATGAGCCAGAGAAGGGAGTTAATTTGCCCAAGGTCATACAGATGCCAGGGTCCAAGAAGGAAGTAGAAGTTGTGTATCCCTTGGCTCCAGACGATGTGACTTAATGGCCACAGGTATGGGCTCCCTCCAGACAGTGAGCTTCGATGGCCACACTGCAGTCCCCATGCCACCTCGCCCTGGAGCCCAGTATAGTGCCTACCTCCTTGACACATAGAGGAGTCCGTGACTGAATCTCTCTCTTAGAGGGCAGGGGGTGCTCTCAGTTGATAGGCTGAGGGTTCCCCATGTGCCAGGCACAACGCTGTGGGTTCCACAAATCACCATCTTTGTTGTAATACTGAACAAAGCCCTGAAGGATACTTGACACATTTCAGAGGGCCCTGACCAAAGGGTGCTGACAGAGACCCAACCAAACATCCCTATCTGACACAAGGACAAGTATGTGAGCCTTTGCTAGAAGTAATGCTTTGCCATCCCCCCAGCCCCACCCCATGTCCATGCTGCAGGAGTTAATGAGACATTCAGCCTTCCTTAAAAGTACTTTTGGGCCTCCCCTAGTGGCGCAGCGGTTAAGCACTGGGCTGTGAAGCTGCCCGCAGCCTCTGCAGTGCCAGTTCGATCCCTGGCCACTGGCAAGGGTCCCACATGGCGCGACAGACCTCTCCTGCCATGCCCGCTGCTCCTCTCAGCAGTGTATTTCGTCAATCTGCCTGTTCTGTTCCCCAATCTGGCTCTGGTGGATTCTCTCACCCTCCCGTGCTTCTGACTGTACCCAGTGCTTGTATAAATAAATAAATAAATCTTTAAAAAAAAAAAAAAGTACTTTTAATACCCCAAAATTACTGGTATATGCAAATACAGAGAATGCATCTATCAGCATCATTTCCCAAGTATCTGAAATATTGTAACCCCATCACATGCAGAAAAACCTTGGAAAAGCTCCATGTAACCAATAGGCATAGTCCTCAGGAAGGGCGTGTTTTATTTATTTTTTATTTTTTTATATTTTAAAATTTTATATATTTCTACATCATTTTTCGTTTTTTGCAC